GAGCAGCAATGGCTCTGACCGGGGCGCGCCTTGCAAGGGCGAAAGCTGTGCGTTGGAGGAACATTGTCCTGGACAATTGATAGTATCGCGGCTGGACGAGTGGAGGGAGGAGGGTTGGTGGAGAGGGAGTTTGGAGGTTCGAGGTGAGTTTGAAGCCGTTTCGGCCCGCAGACGACTGGAGCACCTGACTGACTGAGAGCCGCCCAAACCTCCCGAGTCGTGCGCTGCGACTTACTCAGCAGACCCGACTGATTGGCTGCGGAGCTTCTACGGTGCACTACAAATACCAGTATAGCATTCCTCCCCATTCCGGTAGTCATTCTAGGGCTTAGGGTAAATATAACTGCATCGCAGCATTGCAGCGCCTGGGGTCCAAAAGACTGTTCTAATCCCTATAATACAGATATATACACAATGTTGTATAATCATCTTCCCATAGCCAGCCATGGTTTTTCTTCATCCATCCGTCGCTTAAGGGGGAAAAAGAGAAATTCAAGAAGAAGAAGAAGAAGTAGGAAATCCCACGCATCTGACCATTCCCATCTTCGTGTAGCCGATATGATATCCATCAAAACATTCGTCACAGCTGAGACGCCTTTTCTCGACAAGCTGCTGGAGTAAAGCCATTGCCGACTTTCCCTGCGATTATTCGCCATCGATCATTCTCGTACTCTTGTATCGCACGCTGTAGTCGTTGAACCTACAAAATGCATCAGTTAGTACGTCAATGGTTCCTTGGATGTTGAATCTCATAAAGTAATGCTTACCATCTCATCCGTCCATGTCACATCCTTGGCCTTCAGCTTGGTACAGTATCGAACTTGCAGCGTGCCACTCGTTCGACCAGGAAAGAAATCGGCAATTTGCTTCCACGTCAGGTTCTTGTTCTCTTTCAATTCGACCAGTAAGGCGTCCTCCTCTTGCGTAAATTTAAGTTTTGGGCCTCGAGGCCTGGGAGCCGGATCAGGCATGCCTGGTTGGCCCACCACGCTTGGTGGACCAGAGGGAATAGGAGACGTTTCCACATTCATGCCATGCCGCTCTGCAGAGTGAAGCGAAGCCTGCGGGGGTAGACGATGGTGGTGGTGTTGTTGGGGCAGTGCCATCGACTCAGGCGGCCCGAATCCATGGCTCGACATCGGTTGATGATGGTGGTGGTGGTGGTGGTGATGTTGATTTTGTTGTTGTTGTTGCGGTTGCTGTTGCTGTTGATGGTGTGCTTGTTGCTGTGAAGAATCGCCTTGGACAGAAAAGAGCATCCCTGGGGATTGTGCCGTCTCTGTAGATGCCTGCGTGGAAAGCGCTGACAAGCGCGGGCGGACCCCATGGTCCCCGTAGTCACCCTCGCCTTCCGCCTCGGAATGTGGTCGCTTCTTGCCGCGTTGAACTGGTGGGATCTCGAAGGTGGCAGGGGTATACTGCATCGGAAGCTGTCTAGGGAGCATGTGCGCTGGTGTGAGAACAACGGACTGGGAAATGTCAGGATTTGCTGCTGAGAGAACGGTCGTGCTTGCATGATGTTGCTCGTATGCCGTGCTGCTTGGGGTCCCCTGCGGGAAAGGAGGGTTGGCTTCTTTATGACGTTGAAGATGCGAATGCTGCGTTTGGTAGGCGAGTGCGTTCTCATGCCCCTCCGGTTTAGCATGTTGGGCATAATCAAGAGCATAATCTCGGTACGGATCCGCCAGCGTCACAGACATACATCGGCTCTGCTAGGGCTCCGAAGCCCCGGCAGGCTATTCGATCTTTTCTTAAAAGCTTCGACACGAGATCTGACTGTATAGAAGATGATCGGAGCCTGGTTATTGCGACAAGTAGAAGGGGAATGCTTCGTTTATGTCGAAGATTGCGATGCGAACGTTAACTGATTCGAGGAGCTGCAACACGAGATGATTCCGCCATGCACAACGACAGAGAGACTCTCGAGTAACCAGTCCTACCCTTGGCTTCGCCAGTGATGTGGTGCGCTTTGATACGCGCTGATATGCGCTGACTGTCCCACTGGTCAATATGCTGGAATATATCCTGATGATGATGAGCCGGGGCCGCGAATAGAAGCGTGTGAAGCATCTCGAGTCGAGAAATGTCCAGGGGCAGGAAGGGCCATTTAGGCCTTCTGTATCTGATGAAGGTCCAGGCTATAGGTTGCTTGGGGTGAACTTGGCAAATTGAAACAGCTTCCTCTTACCAGGGTACGTTGGCCAGTTGGGTCTTTGAAATGGAATGTTTTAGACTCGGTCGTCAACGCACTGGATGCGATGGGTCAGCTTTACCGAATCGAGGCAACGGACAGGTCAGACACAGAGTCCGATTGGCATCAGGGGAGATTAGTGTGAAAATGGGATTTTTGAGGCGCTCCTTGTCGTTACTGAAGGTGCAAGGACACGGAGATAAAAGCAAGAGAAAAAGGAAATTACAAAGGCCGAGACAGGCTCAGATAAATCTCTCAATAAGGCGCGCACCCTGTTCGGTAATAGGGTGCAGCCTCTTAATGCCAGCCGACAACGCCTGACAGATTAATGGATGCGAAGACACGAGAAAAGTTCTAGAACGGAAAGGGTAATCGGATGGTAGTAGAGAAGAGGCGGAGTTCCATACATCGCAGAATCGGCACAAGAAAAGAAAATCGCCCATTCGACGGGTTTGCGGTTCCAGTCAAGCTTACCTGGCTTGCAGATGGGGCCTAAAGCATACAATGACGACTGCACTCCAACCAGGCAATTTAAAACTCTGAGAGGTTCTTTGCTCCGTGCTAGGCTGCCCGATTACTGCCAAAGTATGGCAGGTTCTGGGAAGGTTAAGAAGGCGAGAAGCAAACCGACAGCAACAACTAAGCCTGAAACACTGCGCTAGACAAAGAGAGTCTCACAGAGTCTCATATTTAGCTTCTTTGTCACCATGCATGTATGTCTACAGAATCAACAGGAGCGGAGACAGTCAAGCCCGCTTATACACCAAGGCTGGGCTAGGATAAACTAATGCTCATCTATTGGATACGAAAGAGGATGAGCAGGACGCTGGACGTCGGGTTAAGGGATTCACTCTAGATGCCGACATGCCGTAGACCAGTTAGGCTGAAATAGCCAAGGCCCCTGGTTGACCGTCGAGACAAGACGAGGCCGTACTTTGGGTGCCAGAAAATCCACTCAAATGACAGGCCAATAAATGAGAAAGGCGCTGAGCACATAGGAGCAACCGGCGAAACTCCCACGAGGTAAGAGGGGGGTGACAGAGTATCAGGACTACTAGCGCAAGGATGCTAGCTAGCTCATGGCTGGTGTTTGGTGGGCCGTGGCCCTGCTGGGCAGTTCCAGCCTAGTGTTCTGACTCGAGTATAAGAGAACGATCCTGGTCTATAAATCCTGTAGGTCTCAAAAAACAGGTGTGGGACCTCGGGGTAATGTCCACGAAATCAAGCTGCGAATGCCAGGCTCCGAATCTGTGATAGAGTAGAAGGTAATGCTGTCAAGCAGGAATGTAGCATCTCACGCAGGCTAGTGTTTGTGACCTGAAAATGTACCCACCCAAAGTTCCCTTTGTTTTATTTTTATCGACAGTTTCCCTGCTTCTCTTTGGATGGATTTTTCTTTTTCTTTTCTTCTTTTTTCTTTCCTTTTTCCTATTTCGCCGGAACTGTTGTCAGAAACTAACAACGGGATACCCGAGTTCCCTGCGGAATAAGGCCGAGACCGTCAAAAGATTGTCGAGTGAGCTTCCCCCGAGTTTATTTCACTGTGTCTCTCTTAGAAATCAGAAATATCACTTGGATGAGAAGGGTAAGCCCTCCCCGACTAACGGTCGGATTTCAATTGCCTAGTTTCCGAGATGGCTTGTGGTCCGTGTGCGTTCGTTGACTTGTGAGTTGTGACTCGTCGAGGGATGTCAACCGTCGTTCTCATCAACTTTATCTAAATCCGTCGAGATCGCCATCAGCCTGGTGTGTTTGACGGGCAATCTGTATGCGAAGTAAGGTAGACCCGTCAGTTGATTAGAATCTGTCATAGCGTACATTGGTGGACATGATTGCAGTCTTTCGGCATGCTTTGCGATCGATGATTTCCACCCGCATCTCACTACTGTAACACTGTTGGACCGCATGGATTTTGACTTTAGTTCTAGAGTCCTTGAGGCAATGGTGAAACAGATTTTCACTCTCGCAAAAGAAACCGCTAATGGTTGGCCAAGAAAACGAAAATTGAGGTTTCTTCGGTCCCCATGACTTAGAAAGTTGAGGCCTACACCGGAGCCAACCGGAAGGAATGACGTTAGTGTCTTCGAAAAGACTGAGCCAGAATGGAACAGCAGGAAGCTGGGAGGTTGGGAAATGGCTGAGTTGCTTCGTAACTAGCCTGCTGGGTAAAAAGATAGATAGACAGGAAGAGGTGGTTGTCAATGTCGACGTAGCGTGGGTCCTGTTGGTGGGATGATCTGAAGCCATCGTCAAACAATCAAACCATCTCCCAATTAAAGATGCTTCCAGCCCAGTCCAGTCTCGAGTGTGTCATAACTAGACTGCACCATCTAGTTTACCAATCCTTCTAAGCCCCGTATTAATTTAAAAAAAAAAAAAAAAAAAAAAAAAAAGGATACTAGTCTCTACTCTCTAGTCCATCTAGGGAACATAGTCGAACTGCTTATCAAGAATCAAGCAAACATCAAACTCAATAGAACGAATCAAGTCTCAGAGCAGCTCGACGATAGAATATTAATCAACCAACTGATCATTGTAATAACTACTGTACATACATACAAGGCCGCAGTATTCATTTCAAGTTGTGGTCTGCATCGCATAAAGATGATCGTTCCTTGCTTTTCTGGCCATGACTCAAATTATGTCGCCCTAAAAAAACAGATCAATGGAGGAAAGAAGCCACTTCGGTCATGCCTTAAGAGTAAAAATAATGTGAAACATTTCAAGAAGGGGAAAGCGCCTCGAGAACAGGGACAATAACACAAGATAGAGAGAAAGAAAACAAGGGAATCCCAACACCAGTACTTGCTTAAGCGAAATTATCGGAACGATCAACCCAAATGTCCTCGAGTTCAGCGAAGTTCTGGAAATGCAAAGGACGATGTTTGTCGTCATAGAATCTCAACGGTGTATCAATCTTGACATAGACAGGTCGCTTTTCGACGCTGCCGAAAGAACTTCCCATGAAGCTATAGTTCCACACATTATCTTCAGGGACCAGGAAATATCCACGTATCTTGTCGCTGAGCAGCAGTTGGCATTTCTGACCCATGCTGGTCGAGAACCCTTGTGGTTGGTCAGATGTGGTGTCTTTGTTCTCAGCTCCCCACTTGTAACCCTGGGGCGTCAGCCCCCACGCTGCAAGGGAAACAGATCCAGGGGTGAATGACACCGTCATCGTGACAGTCTTCTTATCCCACGAGGGGTGAGCATTCATCAACCGCGCATGCTGGGTCACATCCATAGCAGTCATGTAATGTGGCTCGTTGCCAGAGATCGTGTGGATGACACCGAGAGGCTCAAGCCCGTTCAGATACTCATGCTGTGGCAATTGTTGGGGCAACTGAACATCCCGAGTATTTCCAACCTGCGGAATCATGACGATGGTTCGAATCTCCTTCACTTGGTCGTTATCAGGAGGTGAGCTACCGTAGAGATACCCAGCAACCTGCACTCGAAGATCGGCAATAGTGATGAAGCGACGAAGGATGTTCTTGGGCATGATATAAGTGTACCCTTCCTCTGAAACATCATCTGATGAAATGTAGATATTATTGGCCCTCGTGCGAAGATTCGATGTCGCAATTGCCCGGGTACGCCATTCCGTCTTCGAGGCAAACGACTGCTGTTCGTATTGAGAAGTTGTCGTGACGATGATTTCTTCACCACGAACATTCTGCGTCTTCGTTGTGACCGCTGTGAGCTGCTTCGCTTCCTCCTGCTGCTTCTCAATTTCCGCGGCCTGCTGCCGCTGAAGTGAAGGCGCACTAATCTCCATACCAAGGATAATGTCTCGGACTTCACTGCTCGTCAAACTCTGCACGTTCACATTGTTCTTCTTTCCATAATCGTTCAGAATCAAGTCACGAAGTTGCACTTCAACCTTGATCCAATCCTCGTCCGATAGCGTAGGCCAGATATGATGCTCTTGTGTAATTACCGTCTTGTCAGGTCTCAAGATGATCTTGGCCTTGTCGATATTGACGTGCAGTGCTCGCAGAATAAGAATCAGTCGGGAGAAGGCGGTATACGGAGAGATGGACTTGAGCCATTCATCGTAGAGGTTGAAGAGAACCATTTGTGGTTCGGTTGCCCGCAGAATCATATCTGCCAGCTTCTCGACCTTCATCGCAGCCTGGAACGGCAACTGGAGCTCAGAGGCACGGATGGAGATGTTGGGGAAGTCGAGTAGATGGACCTCAAGGGGATCCAGAAGACCCTTTCGAGTGACAATGAGCTGCTTAGGCTGTTCTTCCACAGGCAGAGACCGAATGAGTGCTGCAACTTCTTCCGCTGTCTTCCACTTCGCCAATTGGCCAAGACGCTTCTGGCCAGCCCAAACACTAGTGTGAATAATCTTGAGGAACAATTGACCAGTCCGAGGGTTGAAGATGAAGATGGCACCGTTGATGGGTTTTGTAGTCAAGTTGCCTTCGAAGGTCTTGTGGATGGTGACACGGTAGACATTAGTATCGTCAATGAACAGTTGAATCTGGGGGCTGAACAATTCGGAGTAATTCTGAGAGTTGAGAAATTCCTGGTTGCTCTCAGACGCATACAACTGCAGACCCTTTCGAATACGCTCTCTTAGTACATACAAGGCAGGGTTTGCCTTCATGATCTTGGCCATGGCCTGCTGGATCAAAGTCTTCAAGCCAGGGAAGTACTGTCCGTATGCCGAATAGAGGTTGTATGCAAGATCAATACCGATCATGAGACCAGTGGCAGAAGGATAGATACTCATGCTATCGGTAGTGTAGTCGAGGTACTTGGCGCGGACATATCTCTCGATATCGTGAGAATCGTAATCGCCGTATCTCAACTGCACATCAAGCCAGAACTTGTTGGTAGTGGTCGGCTCGTAGACATCTTTGGTGTCGAACAAGATGGAAGGTCTAGTCACGTTCCACTTGTTTGTTGCGAAGAGCAGGATGTCTGCGCACGAACTGTTCATCTTGTAAGACTTACGTGGGTGGATGGTCTCCTTCTGGACAGCCTCGATGCCCAACTGCTCGAGTTCCTGATCAAACACCTGGCACAAGTCCATGACAACGGATTCGTGGATTTTCTGCCACAAGTGCGCACGGAAGATCTGAATCAAGGAAATCTTCAAAGTGGGAATCTTGCCGTGCAAGAAGATACCTGTAAGATCAAGCTGCACCTGGAAACCGACATAGACATTGGCACGGTTGATGGTTGGGGACCACCACAGGGTGAATCGACGGTTAGGAATTTGGTTCAAACCAGATCGCTGAGCATTTGTGAGCTTCTTAAACTTCATACTTTCTTCGAAGCCTGATGCTCGCTCCCAAAAGAGACCCTCCCAAGATGGAAAAGCAGTTGCCTTGAACAAGGTGTGCTCGAGAATAGTCTCAACACCACCAAGTGCTTGGATGACATCGGTGCGGTAGGCGTTCAAGTTCCAGAGTTTACCGTCATGACGTTGGCTTGTCCACCAGAATGGATTGCTTTTCATCAGCTGGTACTGCTTGAACTCAGCTCTGAGACGGAAACCTTTATCGAAGCTGAGTGTGCTTCGATCCTTTTGGAAAAGAGTGTTGATACGAGGGAGACCACGATCCCAGCTATCTTCCAAGTCCTCCAAAGTCAGACGGCGATTCTGCTGCTGAGCTTCCATCCGCTTCTGAGAGTATTCCATCCAGACTCGCTGAGAGTCGATGAACTCAGCCTCCCATGGGATGATGTATCGGAAGATATTAGGAATGAGGGTTTCCTCGTCATGTGACATACCCGCTCGGAAGTGAGTAATGCCGGTATCCGTCTGCTTCGACCACCGCTTGTCGCTGGCGGGAATCAAAATATGAGAACCCGAAATCATGCCCAGACCTCCCAATTCCTTTGGCGTGTAGAAGACCGCAGGAGGGAAACGCGAGGGCATCTTCGAGTTCAGACCAATCTTAACGCGAGTCTGAATCTTGGTCTCACATTTGACAATCGTGTCCAAGAGATTGACGGTGGAGACAGCAGCTTCACGATAGTATGTAAAGAGAGCGATAAGAGCGGTGTTCCACTTATTGGCGATCTTGGTGAAAGTGGTTGAACCTGAGGACATGAGGATTTGCCGGATTCGGTTGTTGAATTTCTGAATGTCCTCCTCTGTTACTTGCAAGAAAGCATGGGCTGTGCGCTCCTTGGTGGTGTTGTCTACCAGAGACCACACACTGTCCTTGACCGAGAACTCCTCATTCTGATTGCGAATCTTTGGGAGAATACGGACCTCAAATCCACACATGGAGAACAGCAGGTTCGGGTTGTCCTTACTGTACACGCTAGCAAAGGTATCATCCCATTCAATTGTCGTAATTGACCGTGGCAGACGGTTCTTCAAGTCCCAGAATGCAGCGCGACCGAGATTAACATCGTGTCGCATCAGACGCATACGGCAATCACGCGGCCAGCACTTCTTGTTCTTATACCCAATGACATTCTCAAAATTAGGGTCAGGATTCTCCGTAAGGAAGCGCTGAATAAGATCCCTGGACTCGTCCGCGGTGAATCTGAAGAAGACCCAGATCTTGTCAACGTAGCGAGTGTACAAACGAATGGGATGTCTTGACTCTGTGGCACGGTCTCTGAATTGCAAGAAGTCGTTGGGACTCTGCGGCGGACCTGCCATCTCGCTGGCTCTTTGCAATCCAAGGAGCAGCAGGTCAATCATAAGACCATAATACTGGAAGACGAAACCGGAGAACTGCAGACCCCTGATCAATCCGTAGCTGTTGGTATGGTTCATATCCTTGTAGCTCAGCTGCACATTGTTCTTCGAAGTAATGTAGTCAGCCAAGTTGTGATCCATGATCAAACGTAGCAAACGATTCAAGAGAGTAAGATCAATCTTCTCATAGACCTTGGACAACTCCGTTTCAATCATGACATTCGTCTCGCCATCGGCAGTTTCCCAGACGTTGGATAAATTATTGATTCCCTGGGCCCACTTGTAGGTCAGCAGTGGAGGGACTTCAGAATCCGAGGGTTTGATCCAAGCTGGGAAGAGGTGGCGCTGCTCTGCCTGATACCAAAGGTACTGGTCCAGGTAGGCGTCCGTGATCTTCTCGATCGGCTCGACATCATAGACAGGGTTGATGTTGTTGTAATTGTCGTTCATATCGATTCCAACTTCCTTGAATGCTCTCTGCGTGAGCAGGAACCTCTTGATTCGGGCCAACGTGGTTCCAGGAGAGTCGTATGCCTGTTCAATGAGAGCAAGTTCTTCTCGCTGACTCTGGTTCAGTCTACCCTTTACAGAGTAGGCCTCGCGGAGGCGTTCGAGAGCAAGAATAAGAATCTTGGTGTCATGCTTGTAAGAGACACTCGGGAACGGAATGGGTGAGAACTTGCGAGACTCGAGCCAGTGCACCATGGTAGTGTAAATCGCCACCGCTTCTTCCGAAGATACATAAGGACCATCCTTTAAGTAGTTGTGCTGTCTCTCCTGTTCAGCCTTGAGCCAAAGTCGAGTCAGTCGACCAAGATTCTTCTTGGCAACAGTCTTATCCACGGTGGCACCGCGGCGAATACGTTCACGATTGTAGTGCGCGACAGATATCCACCAATCGGCCTTGCTCTTCACATATCGCAAGATAATATTCTCGATCGGTGCTGGAAGCCCCGGCACCTTCCAGGGAATATTACTCTTCCAGCATCGCCAAGCTTCAGACAGATGTTGCAAAACTGTGTTCACTTTGTTCTGTTTAATACCTTCAGGCATCATATCCATCAGATCCGCCATGACGGAGGCTCGCAGTTCAAGGTCGAAGTGCGACTCGACACGCTGCTTGGTGACGGTCTTGGCAACGCCCTTGCTATGACGACCCTCAAACTGACGAGAAAGCAAGTTTCCAAGCCATCTCTCAAGAAGAGGAATGATACCGCGCATGAAGAACAGCCAAACGCGCCAAGCAGGGGCCCAAAAACCGCAACCAGGACCTTTACCCACAGGGCCAGAATTGAACCGGTAGTAGATCAAATGCTTCAGGTCCTTGCAGGAACGAATTTGATGCATCAACTTGTACTTGTAACGGTACATACCGGTCAACTGTCCAACATGGTTGAAAGCGTACAGAATGCCATCGGCCAATTGAAAAGCATCGATGTTACCCAGACGATATTGAACTTGCGCATCGACAATTAACTTTGTAAGGCGCAGAATCTCACGCATCAAGTGGAAAGCGTTACCGAAGCGGGACTTCTTTCGCTCCTTAGTGGTCAGTGTCTTAACTGGCTTCAAATTGAAGTTGTAGTCGAGATGCAGATAGGTCAGGTTCTTTCGGTGAATCAAGAGGTTGAGCATATTAAAACCCTGGCGGCAAACCTGGAGACCAGCTTCAACCCAGTCGATCGTCGTCTGCTGGAAGAACTTGGTAGATTTCAGAGTCTTCATCAGATTTTGCTTGTTCTGGGCCTTAGGCTTCTTCTTGTGCAACTCATTGAGCACATACGTCTTGAGAAGCTTCTGGTACGATACTCGGACCTTCACGGGCTGGCCCTGGGGGCAATGCTCCAGGTACCACTGCTTGACGAGTGGCACGTCCTGCGCGCGCACCATCTTCCCTGATCTCTTATTGAACGGATGAGGAGCCCACCACAGGGCGATCGCTGAGGCAGTATCAGGTGTGTACAGTTCCTCGTCGGCGAAGAAGGGCTCCACCTCCGGTGGGAGTTCAAAAAGATCGTCCTCGTTGTTCCCGGGTCCAAAGATCTCATCCTCATGGCTGACCGTAATGTTCTTGGGGGCGACAGAGCGCGACGAAATTGGATTGATGACAGGGTCGAAGTAGAAAGCAGGAAGGTTAGGGTCATCGGTTCGGACGTAAACGACTTGAGGATGAGAATACCAGGAAACTTTCACGCTTCTCGGCAGGGTGTTATATAAGAAAGGGAAAGCGACTCTGTACTCCGTCCGGATGGGTGCTCGGAAGATGATGCGATCGATCGCGTTAAATTCACTGAAATCCTCGTCATTGGGGTCGATGTCCTTGTACAAAGGCTCAAAGCGTGGGCCACCGGGGATGGCAACATTCAAGGCCTTTGCCGTAAGGAAACTGTTGAGATCAAACATGTGAAAGTAATTCTGGTCGACCACATCACTGAGCAACTGATGACTTAACCGATAGAGGGTTGCCATCTGTGGAAGAGTCAAATTCCAGCTCTTGTAACTTGGTCCATTGACATGAGGGGTATCAAGTAGCGGGCGGTGATCGTAGAACCACTCATACACGGGGGCATCTTCGGATTCGTCGAGCTCCATCTGGACCGGCTCCAAGGGCTCGACGTCTTCAATGTTCTCCGACCATGATAGGGGAGGTTCCTCGTCATCGAAAGGGGGAAAGCGCATCCGCTTGAAATGTCTGCGGTCGCTCTTCTCTCGCCGCATACACACCCACATTGTAGCCCACTGAGCATGGAAGACCGGTTCGATGACCCTCGGGGTCTCGTTCACGAGCGTAAGGCAGCCATTCACATGGTACAGCACCTTGACCTCACGAGCCGATTCCCAAGGCATGGGCATGTTTTCCAGCAGCTTCAGGACGGCGTGAGGCATGAACTTCAGCGCGCCGAGATAGCTGCGCTTCTCGTTGCTGAACTTCTTCTGTGATACGTCGCCAATATCTCGGACGATCTTCCGCAAGTGCTCTGGAGGCATGTCCGCCTTCTGTGTCTCAACAAAGCCGCCTTTCCTCTTCTCTCCAAAACGATTGCGCTGCGTCCGCAGCCATTCGTTCTTCTTCTGAGCAAACTTTGCGACATTCGGATCCGCTGGGGGCTGGTATCCTGGCGGCGGCGGCGCCAAAGGCATGGAAGGAGGGGCTGCTGCACCCCATCCGGGGGGAGGGGGAGGAGGCAACGACGCCATGGTGATGGCGATTAATGAATGAAAGACGCTTTCGACCTAGCCGACTCTGATAATGGAGCAAAGTCGCGTCAAACCACGTCGGGAAAAATCATCAAACTCGAGACGAAAGCACTGGCGGGACTTCACAAAAGTGATGATTATGAAGATATATTCGCGTCGAAAGGATGAAATGATAGCCCCGAAGAGAAAATCCCAACTCCCGAACGATCCCCTTCTCACAACGGGTGATGGAAGACACTGTTCTGGCTCTTTCTTGGTAATGGGCAAGCTTGAACAGAGGTGGCGGCTCTTCGCGGAAAGACGCTAGTCTTTATTGGGGTTAGCGTGTGCTCGCCAAATTCGCGCTAGCGCGGCCTTCCAGGGCTCCGAGCGAAACCCACACAAATCCAGATGACTTTGAGAATTCTACGAGGACAACGACGACAACCGACGACGCCGCCGCCAAACTCTTGACCACCGTTTCAGAGGTTCAAGGACAATCAAAATGGCGAACAACAGATTGCAATACGTGAGTTTTCACACTGGCATATATTTCATGCTTGGATAAAATACTGATTTACTTTTTTTCCTACAGCGGAGACGGAACCCGTACGTTTGAAATTTCCCCCCAGAAGTTCACAATACTATGCTCCCTGCGTCGCTTTCGTTCTCGGCGTTGTTCGCTTCAGTTCAGTGGCATATCGCATGATATTTGGCGCGACGAGACACATCACTTCCGAATCTGCCCTTGAAAGCACGATATTGATAGGTTTTTGTTCTACAGGTACAACACGCGGTCCAACAAGGTCCGCATCATCAAGACTCCTGGCGGCGAGCTCCGTTACCTCCACATCAAGAAGAAGGGCACTGCCCCCAAGTGCGGTGACTGTGGCATCAAGCTCCCCGGCGTGAGTGCTCCCGTGTGAAATTCTAGCTAGCAAGCGGTCCTATGTGCGCTCTTTTGGATGTCTTCGATTATACTGTCGAATCAAGAGACAAGCTCGAGGAACGGAACGCGCACATTTGATCGTCTCTAGCCAAGTGATAGGAAGACGAGCAGGGTCACTGATTACAAGGCTTAGATTCCCGCCCTCCGCCCCCGTGAATACTCCCAGATCTCCCGGCCCAAGAAGACCGTCAGCCGTGCCTATGGTGGTTCTCGCTGCGCCGGTTGCGTCAAGGACCGTATTGTTCGTGCTTTCCTGATTGAGGAGCAGAAGATCGTCAAGAAGGTCCTCAAGGAGTCTCAGGAGAAGGCCGCTGGCAAGCGCTAAACGGATTACGTTTTGTTCTCGGTGTTGGTCCTTTTTTAAAGTGGGAGCGAATGATATGGAAAAATTCAGCCGGGTACGGTTCTCTTAGAGATAAAAGATGAACAGACACGGCTAGCATGCGAACCTTAATGGACGTGGCTATCAATGAAATTTCATTTTCATCATGAGTTATCAGCTCTCCCTGTCACTGTGTTGATCTGCCCACAGGGAACACACGAGGTATCCAGCGATGAAATAATGATCACGCTCATCAGAGAACCATTTCACTCTGTCCGGTTGCGTAGCTTTCCATTTCCGCAGGCCGATCTCATTTGAAGATATCGTAGTTACGGATTACTCGTTAATCATTGAGAAATCGTTTCATATACCTTCCCGCTCATTGTCATCTTCTCAGGGCTCAGATAAATATCTTTATGGTCAATGGTCATGGCAGGATTGCCAGCGTCAGCACCAGAAATACTGTCCAAGAGGAAATATAAATATATATATATATCAATGATACCAGGAAAAGCATAGCTGTGTGGAAATGAGAGTCGGGCATGATAGTATATTTCTAGAAGAGGGTGCCTGCTTGTGCATGTACTAGGACCCGACATCTACTGCTCCGGGTACCACTGTGCTACTTTGGCAAAACGTGAACGGGAGGATCAGATTCTTCACGGCAGAAGTAATGATATCCTTCTCGAAGAACGCACAGATGGATGAACGATGTCAGAGCTCCCTCCTCGTGATCCATGACACAAATATACCATCGTGATCACCATTCGACACAGCAACCATTAACCTGGTAGATTGCTCTTTTTTGATCCTGTTATTCATAAGAGCATGAAACTACGTACGGGATGTGGTACATATACACGCATTCGTGAATTCATCACTGGACAAATCTTGTCATGTATTTTTTGACAAAATCCTTTTTTATCCACGTCAAAGTACCCTCAGGTACCGAAACCGGGTGAATCCTGGTCGGTTATTAGGACGGCATGCAGCTAGCTATAGCGTACACAGCTGAGGGTCTAACAAAGTGTCCCACTGTTGTGAAATCGACTGCTGTTCTGTAGATCTTTGGGGATCTTGCTGGAGAGAGTCGCTCCTCGATTCCGAGGGAGGGCCAATGGGCGCCGTCAAGCATGCGTCTAAGTCATGCATCTATCGTTTGAGGCTTTACGACCTTCCACTAATCGGCACTTCTAAGGATCTACTTCGGATAGAAGAAAGATGCTGGCTTGTAAGTCCACCGTCCATGAGACATTCGACATATTAGTTTATCAGTAGATAGAGTTCTGTCACTGAAGCTGATCGACAGAGGAATGTCGCCTGTCAATTATGTAACAAGCCATCAAAAGATCACACATGTATACCTTTTTGGCTCAGACACATGATGTACGTTGCTGTGCAGATTACACTGCTGTCGGCATCCTATGGGAGCGGTGTGGACGTCACTCAGTCCCTTCTTTCCGCTCTCCAGGTACCCGTGATTCTCGTGAGAAGCTTCGGCACGAAAACTGGTCGTCAACCGGACTGGTAATGCGTGAAACCAGCTGTATCTACGTGCTGATACCAGAGGGATCTATAATAGAATCCACATAAGCAGATCCCCGAGCAGGATGTAGGAAGAAGATCATATGCTCGGGGATGGCGGAAAGGAGGTTGGGTCCCCGATTGATCTGTAAATATTAGCAACTATTCTCTGCAACTGCAAGAAGGGTGAGAAATAAGTACGCACCGAATATAACCTAGTCTGGAGGCTGATATGGGATGTGCTGTTTGGGAAATGAATCCCTGCTGTGACAACCCCGGGTGTTTAAGGTCCGGTCAGGACAGGCGGAAGGAGCATTCAGGCAACCCGGTCATAATTGTGAAGGCAACGAGCTAGTCTGAAGTGGAATCATGTTCTATTCTTTGATGAGAAGCATGCCCCATGAGGAACATCCCATACGCCCCAGTGACATGAAGCACGGAAACAATAATAAGCCACATGATGCACAACAAAGAATGACAGGGAGGAAAGACCACGGTCTCTTTTACTCTTTTCACCTTGTATCTCCAATCGTGGCGCTCAAGCCATAATGCTAGTTCGTGGAGACGTAGAATTCATCAAGCACTTGGAGTCGATCACCATACGGAGTATGCAGCCCGCTAATGGAAGGTCTGTAAGGATGTAAAAAAAGCAGCGTTTTGATCCTTATCCGTTTCTGTAGTTGTAGAACAATGGCAAGCCTAGGCTGTATCTCGGCCCTTTGCCCCCAAATAGTCTACGTTCAAGCAGCTTAGAGTTCGGAGCGGGCCGCTATTTCTACAGAAAACATCCTTTTGGCATTTCTTTGCAGCTTTGAAAGCATGAAGTAATTGATTACTCATGGATATGAATGGATCGATTCACTTTGCTGAGTTTGACAGTGGAGTCTATGTCTCAAGTTCCTGCAGGAAAAAGAAGTCCAACTCGCAGATAATTAAAGATGCACTGTAATTACTTACTTGAGGAGTGTGTCATCACGCCCAAGACCTTGAATCTCACTGTCAGACGATAATGACCTTGATCGGTGGCCCATCCCAGGGGATCTGACGTGGATGCTCGTCTCAACCTCCTTTATCTGGTACAATCCACGCCTGAAAATAAAAACGGACATCTTACTTAAACCATCGAATAACAAAGCACATGAGAAATAAAACCCGTCGAATCAAGCCCAGAGCGACTCAGAACCCACTGTGATCAGGCTCTCTGGCGCTGCCACTGCACCCCCTTGGGCTTGGCTGCATTACCAGTGGCATATCGATATCCACAAAGTCGACTGAGATAGTGAGGGTGAGGGTGAGGGCTCTACATCCCAGTTCGAATCGGATGTGACAGGCTGACAGCATTAGACATACATGAAACGTCAAACTCTAACCTATGTAGACTATCTCTGTCTAGATACCTGTCAGTTAGGCATTTGTAAGGTACTTTTGATAGTGCTTTCCAGCAGAGTTTAATTTTCTGCGCTAAAAGCCCATTACGTGCTTAGGGTCATCTAGTGCGCTGGGGTTATTCGGTCTTCTGGAGAGACGACTCGCCAGATCTTCATGCCGCTCAAATCAGCGAACAAGATGACAACGGAGTCTCGTCTCGCCTCGTCTCGCCTCATCTCCGGCGTAATGAGCGACTATCCCACTATCGAATCGACCCCACCACACCCTAAGGACCTTTACTTACATATTCCACATACCCATACATACGTACATGCGCATCCTTGAAGATGCCACCTTAGCTCCCTCTCATTTTATCAACTAGATGCCTTGCGTAGGTAATCACAAGGGAGAAACACCACCAGTCCCTCGACTTCATGGCTGGAAAATGAGCTCGAGGACGGCTGAATCTTTGGCCGAATGGGTCGTTTTTGCCTCGCACTATCTGCATGTATTAGTTTTGTGTTCTGACTCGTGTAGATGAACGATCTATACGGAGTACGGTGTACATCGGGCAGCATCCTCTGTCCTCGATGACGCGAGTCCTACGACAAGCTGACATGGATGCTGAGAGTCTGTTCGAAACTGGCATTACCCTATCATTATCATCACCATCATCATCATCGCGTCACAGTTTGCACTGACTGTCCACATGATCGACGTTAAATGAAGAGACAAATCAAATCAGCCTGGAGAGGTAATAGGACCGGACACAACAAATAAGAAATCTTCGACGCGAGGAACTTTTTTCGCTCTTACTAAGCCAGGAATGAAAAAGAAAATGGATCAAAAAGGAAAGTGCATCGACATGAATTCATGAACAAATGCTGGCTTGGGCTGGAAATAATCAACTACAGTACATGTTTAGCTAGATTATGCAAGTCAGCTATCAGAGCCCTGGTCTCAAATATGTGTCTTACTGCGGCCCGCTCTCTTCTCTCAATAGTCCAACAATTGTGATACACTGAGTTGACGATCTGACGAGGGTTCCGGGCCGCTCCACCAGCCATGGTTATTAACTGTAGGTAATCAATGGGGGAGCGAATAGAATCCACAGCAACCTCCAATCCCGCTTTCATATGCAAGACTATTAATACTCTTCGTTAGGCCCCGCCATGTCATAGAACATAGGGGTACAGGGAGGGGGCCTCCGTGCAGCCAATGACGCTAGCCAAATTGTACTGTTCTGCTGACGGTCGATGCATGAGCGTGGCAGGACCGGACGCACGGGTTGGTGACACTGTCGTCGCCACAGAAGTAGCTGTGCGAAGGTACGGGAAGTGATTCCCCATCTGTGAGGGTAGCTGCTGCTGCAGAGGGGCAGGATGCAGATACAGTCGTTCTCTTTGTGCAGCGTCCTGCTGGCCTCCTGTCATCAAAAACACCTGGCCGCGATACTTGGCTGCAATCTTGGTCGCCTTCCCGCCGTTGGCCCCAGATCGTTGGCGCTGGGGAGCCGGTGTATCCGAGCCCAACGGCCTTTTGTGATTCGCTTGCTTCCTGTATCGGGTAGTCGACTGGATGCCTTTCGTGTATGCCTCGTCCGTAAGGCGCCAGTAATTCATGGCCTTTTTGCCATTGTGAGATTCTACCCTCACAGCTTCAAAGCCCTGCGAGTTAAGTCGCACCTTAGCACGCAACTCCAGCAGAGATCAAAACAAAGAAAGGGTAAAACCATGGAGTATCTGTGGGACCACGTACCGCATTCATTGAGAGATTGTGCCGGATACTGTTCTGCCATCCCTTTGAGCGTTGGTCTCTCCCCTTGCTTGTATTTTGCTCGAACCAGCTATAGATCTCTTGAAGAGTACGCTTCCTATCAGGAGCAGTCTTAAGAGCTTCCGCGATCAAATGGGAATACGGAAGGTCTGTGGGTGCACTGTCGTCTGAAATTGGATTCTTTTCTGTTTCAGCGCGCTCAGTTTCTCGCTGAATTTCTGTTCTCTCACGGTCGACATGCTGTGAAGAATTGGAAGACGTAGCTGACCTTGTTTGGGGGGAGGATGTGGTATGCATCGTCTCAGCCTGTTGTGGAAAGGGTTCAGCGGGTGGTG